AGTATTCGACAAGTGATTCAATCCATGCTAATAAGCAAGCAATGCAGCATGCCAAAAATCCACAGGCACCATCGTCGCTATCCGCAAAACTTCGTAATACTGCTCTAGCAGTATTAAGAAGTGCAATTATTAAACTCCCAAAACAAATGCTACCTATAGAAGTTGTAGTTGCACGCTTAAAAGAGCTGAGAGTTGGAGTAGTGCCTGTTCCTTGAGGTGTGCCTTCAAGGAAATAGTATGTTGCATAAACTCCTGAGGCAGTAACATGAACAATGGTCTTTACGACCTGACTTGTCCAATAGAAACTGAACAATAAATATACCAATATTAGGTATATTATAGTAGAATTGTTACATGTCTTTCGACCATTCACGGTAGTACAATACATCGAATCTAAATATTCATATCTAGAAACAAATGAATAGTTTAGCGAAATTTATATACAACTATACAATAGATACAGTATATTTAAACTTACGCTCCAATTAGACTCAAAATCCACAAGACAGACCATCCTACTTGAACTATTAAACCTATAAAACCCATTATAATGATGCCATAATATTTTCTTGTAATGCTTACAACTGTCTCTAACATAATAGCTGCAAAAGGAATACGATTACGCCAACTAAAGGCAGCAATCAGATATAATATTCCGAAAACTACAAAAATAACTGACTAAAAAAAATATTGAAAACCCTTTAAAAATTTAATGCTAAAATAATGCACATTAGATACAAAAAAAAAAACTTACCAAAACGTATGAATGAATCAAGAAAAAGACGGCAGCAGCAACAAAATACATGGCAATTGACAGGTATAGTGTTACTTTGATAAGCGGTAGAGGAAACCTTTGCATAAAAAGCATATAAACAACACTCAAAATCAACCCAATCAGACCGGAAATAATGAATGGTGGAATTATTTCAGGCCTAAAGAAATTGTTGTCCTTTTCTAATCCTTTCTGGCTTATGAGATACTTTAGTCCGACGATACTAAGAACCACGAAACCAACAAGGTGAGCGAGAAACAATAGAAAGGCCCATAAATCTAAAGTATCAATATTTATTTGCAAGAGGCCACATATGATTTTAATGCTTTGTTTCAGTGTAAATATTAATCGAATTTCACATACCCTGAAATTTTGGTTTCGGATTCCATTTTTCTGCTATCGAACCACGAAATGATCCCTGATCATACGCGGGTGGTTGATATTGCGGAACCGGAGAATATCTTCCTGACTGAGGTGGGTAATATGGCTGGGCCGTTTGAGAATAATAAGGCTGTGAAGGCGGAGGTGGTGGTGGATAATGTTGGCTCATTATCTTTCGACGTTAATGTTAATCGTTAGAACTTTAGTATTTAGGCTTTAACGTAAATAAATTTTTAAAGGCTCAACTATTTGTGGCTTCGAAAATTCTATAGTAATTTCCAGGTGTAACCTAAGGATTTATAATTGTACTTAGTGTCAGCTGGTTTATTGCTGAAACTGTTTCAAAAATCTCGAATTGCACCATTGATCATTCATATTACAGTATTTTGTCCTATATTTGATTATTATACGTATACAGATAGATACGTATACAAAATCATTCTGATACGCGCATGACGATGATTTATTTACCAAAAAGCGTGTAGTTTGTTTATATTGCTATTTGAATGGCATTGGCATTTCATCTCAGTTTCCATATATAAAATATTCTATGATGCCGATATTCCATACAGTAACTTCTATTTATAACAAATAAAAGGTTCTATTTATAAAGGACACAACAAATGAAAGGGTTTATTTTAAGGACGCTCCTGGGCTAATTGTTCGATCATAGATTATTTGTTAATTGATTAGCACCTTATCGGTCCCTGTAAAATTGGTTCTACTTGATTACATGTGATCAAATACTATGTATACGGCTGATTATCTAGCCTGTTCTAGTCTTTTCGATCTCCTTGGTCATCAAATGGATTTATTAAAAGAAAAATTATGTTAAGAGCTAACCGCTTGGGATAGATAAGATGAAAAGTAGTAAATTTATGTTTTCCTTTCTGTAATTCATTTTCTTGGCGACACTCATACTAGTTCTAAATTAAACTAATTAATTCTATCTATATACTTAAATCACCATCTCTTCTTATACACGTGCAAGGTTCTAGAGCCAAGACTTATGAATTAATCAATTTATCGAATACATATACAGTCGACTCTGCATATAACGAACCCTGAGGGTCTATATGTAAAAATTTTAAAAAGTTCCTTATAGAGAATTTACTAAAAGTTCGTTATAAAGTGAGTTCGTTATAAAAAAAATAAATACCTATATACCGTATTATACTAATACCCTAATCAATCAAAATAAGGCTATGCAAATTAATTATATAATTGCCCTGCCGGTCAAATTTTGAAAACTATAACAAAATTTTTTTATCGATATGACCTTTAATAACCGGTGAGCTTTAAAAAAAAAAAGTTTTTTTTATATACATTTTATAAAAGAAGTGGTTAAAAGTTTCTTGTCTGAAACCAAAAAATTAAATTTGTATAGCCTAATTTAAAATTTTAAAATTTTTATAATTATTATTTATATATATAGTTAGATTTAGATTATTATTTTTTGGCAAATTTGTTTTAAAAATATTATCAATTTTTTAATATTTATTTGGTGCAGGGTGCACCGTGTGCACCCCCTATGAAAAATTCAAACCTAAGAATAGTTAGAGTTAGATTAGGGTTAGGTTAGGTTAGGTTAGGGTTAGTGTTAGAGTTGGGCTTAGTGTAAAATTGCAAGAGGATCATTTTTTATTAATTACACAACAGGGGTTACCCTAGTAAAATTTTGAGTTATAGCAAAATTATAGCAAAGGGTGCACATGGTGCAGGGTGCACCAAAAAATAATGTCCTTTTTTTAATTAGTTAAAAAATATTAAAAGTTAAAATTTTAATTTTTTAAAAAAAAAAAAAACATTTATTATTTTTTAAGATTATTATTATAGCAAAAACTTGATTAGTATATTTTTAAATTATAGTATTTAACAACTAATAAGAGTACAACTAGTTATATATACAACTTTTGTTATTTATTTAAGTAGTTTGTTTAAGATTTTATATTAACTAAAAAGCTATCTTTCTGGTTTAGATATTTTATTTTTTATTTTTTATTTATTATTATTTTTTTTTAATATTAAGATGATCACCTAAACTCTTGGCACTTTATTAATACAAGTAGGTATTGCTGATCCAAAAACTATATATAACATGTTATAGTAGTATCATGAGAGTACAACTAGCTACACATACAACTTTTGGTTGTCTAATTTAAGTAGTTCTCCTAAAGTTCTACACTAGCTATTATACTTATAGCCTAACTAGGAAGCTATCTATTTAAACTCTCTAGTTTTAACCCCTGCATTATGTTTCTTCTAATATATCCTTTTAGAATAATTTACTATTAAAGATTTTAAGACTTTAGCCTCTAATTAGCCTAGTTTTCTAGAGAGGTATTTATCCTTGTAGTAAACCTAACAGAATGGTACATGTTTTACATATGTGCTTGCTTGTATGTTTGATAACTTTTCTTTAACTAGTACCTGTTGTACTGCTGCCACCAGATCTATATCTAAAGCTATCTTTTTAGATACTACTATAACCCGATCTGTATCTTAAGCTACAACCTCTTTAATTAGTTTTCTATTATATACTTCTTGCACTTACAAGGTTTACAACAACCCTAGTACCCATATTTCAACCTTTTTCTTTTTCAAATTTCTTACTAGTCCTTTCTTTATTTCTAACCAGCAACCTGAAAGGGTTGGTCTGCCTAGATTTTAGATGCCTTATAGTCACCCTCCTTTTGGTATATATTTTCAAAGAGAGTACAAATCTTTTTCTTCTGGTTGGCGAGTTGGTGGTTTGGCTAGTATGTCCTTCTACTTAAAAACCTGGTCACTTGGTTATCCAGTTTTGATCTCTAGTTTCAAATTTGGTTTTCTTATAGCACTGTTAAAGATTATTACTACTTCTCAACTCGAGACTTGCCAAACAGGTTTTTGGTTATTCCAGTTTCTTAAGTTTATTACACTAAAGATTCTATTCTAGATAGTGTAACTAAAGTTACAGATTAGGATCCAACTAATCATTATAGCCATTAACTGTATCACAAGGCTATTTTTCAAAAACATTGTCTATAAGATTTGAATTCTAGACCTGCTGTCTAGGGTATAACTAGGGTGTTCAGAATTATGCTGCTAATGATAGTAAATTATGCTTGCTAATAATATGAAATTATGCTTTTTATGCTAATAATTTTTAAAAAAATTTTTTTAATTAATTTTAAATTATACAAGATTAATTTTTAGTTTTTATAATATAAAATTTTAAAAATAACTATATTTTAATTATATTTATTCTAATTTTTCTTTATTAAAATATAACATATTAAGTTTTTCTAAAGATTCTTCTGAAAGTGCATGACAATTATTATCAAGAATATTTTTATAATTAGAAAAACTACGTTCAACATCTACACCTGATATAGGTAACCAAATATAAACTAATGCAAGTTTGCTAAGATTTGGAAGTTTATCATACATTGTTTTCCAATATGAATCTAAATTTAAGTTTTCATCAAGAACTTCTTCCAAATTACAATAAATTCCCTATTCATTAATTATTTCATTTGTTGAATTTTTGTATTCTGAAATAACTGTATATAATGAAATATTATGATTAATTTGTTGAATACGAATATAACATGGATTAAAACAACAAATTGCTTTAAATAATGTAAGTGCAGAATGTTAATTAATATGTAATTTAAATTTTTCTAAAGCTTGAGAAAATGCTTGTGCTAATATTTCTTTTGTTTCACCAATATCATAACCTTTTTTACTAATATCTTTCATTGCTTCTTGAGTTAATATTGGATTTGTTGCTTTAGCTTTTAATAAAGCTTTAGTTATCTCAATTCAGTTATATACATATGGTGCAATTGGTTGATTTCGAATTTTAAAAAATTCAAGATCA